AATTTAGGGATAAAATATAAATGTTATGGTGGGGTCTATCTTCGTATGAGTTTGTAGTAATAAAAGTCAAAAAACTTTTAGACACCTTAAAATCTAACTTTACGTATGTGTTATCAGAAAGTTGCACTTATAATAAAATTGTTATTTTAAGTTTAGCATTTTGGAGGTTAGTTTAATGTGTTTATGAAGTTTGTGCATTTTGAAGGTTAGGTTTTATGTGTTTACGCAGCAAATACATAGATTTTTACAGTTTCTTACTACCGACTCATACGAAGATAGACCAAATACAGCATTTCTATTTTATCCTAAATTTGACCACTTGATCACTTTTAGCTAGTAATTAAATGGGATGTAAATTTTATGAGGCAGAATTTTCCCTGAATTTGTATTTATTTACAAAATTAAGGGTTAATTTAGGGATAAAATATAAATGTTATGGTGGTGGGTCTATCTTCGTATGAGTTTGTAGTAAATAAAAAGTCAAAAAACTTTTAGACACCTTAAAATCTAACTTTACGTATGTGTTATCAGAAGTTGCACTTATAATAAAATTTTATTTACATTTGTACCTTTTGGAGGTTATGTTTTATGTGTTTTCGCACCAAATACATAGATTTGTAACAGTTTCTTACTACCAACTCATACACAGATAGACCCGTAACATTTCTTTTTTATCCTAGAATTTTTATTTGAAGTTTGTGCATTTTGGAGGTTAGGCTTTATGTGTTTACGCACCAAATACATAGATTTATAACAGTTTCTTACTCATACGAAGATAGACCCATAAAATTTCTATTTTATCCTAAAATGACCCTTTAAAATTACCTTTAGCAAAGTATCTAATTTAGATGTAAATTTAACAATAGTTTTAAATATAATTAGTTAATTTTAAATTAATACAAAACGACTAATGGATGTTTTAAAATTTTATTATAAAAGATAACTTAATTTTTATGATGTAATTATGATGCTAAAATATGTACACAGGTTTAATTGTAAATTAATTAGTAATAAGGTAACTGATGCAGATTTAATTTAATTTAATATTTTATTAGTTTTTAATATATATATATATATATATATATATTATTTAATAATGTGGACGAGAGATTTTATACAAGTCTTCGAGGCAAAATACAATGTTTAAATGATAATGAAAATACATCTGACTTATTATTATTAAACTTCCCGTAGGGTAAGTTATTGTAGTCGTCCAAAAATCGAAAATGAAAATTTTTGCACATCTTCACGTTTCCGAGGTTTCTGAACTTCTGGCATACCTAAGATAAAATGCATGTGTTTGTGTGTGTGTGTGTGTGTTTTGCATGTCCGCATTTTTTCGTCCACGTTTTCGGAAGCAAGGATCAATCGTTTCGAATGATTCATTTACCATTCGATCCCTATTGATAGGGAGATGTGCTGATTAGTTTTTGGCTAAGGCAGGTCCAGCCGTTACGGAGATACAGAGCAAAGAGTGTAGAAAATACAAATCGAGTTTTTGAGAGAACGAAGAATCCGATTTCAATGATTTAAGAAACATTTTATTTGTATTGACGAAATGAAGAATTTATTACATTTTTACGAAGGCAGGTACAGCGGTTTAGGAGATGCAGAAAAAAAGTCGAAAAATGTCATTTCGGGGTTAAAAATGATATTTTTGTGGCGATTTTATTAATGTTGATCAACCGATTTGAATGATTCAAAAAACATTCGATTCCTATTGATGGCTAAAGAGTTTTTGGCAAAGGCAGGTCCAACTGTTTCGGAAACACGTTGTAAAGGCTATTCAGTTTTTGAGAGAAAGGATTTGAGAACAATCGATTTGAATGATTCAACTGTTTTGATTTTTTTTTTCAGTTATGAAAATTTTTTAAAAGTTCGTAATTTTTTTGGAATTTTTGGAAAAAATCGATTTTTTCAAATTTGTGGAGAATTTGGATATTTTTGAAAATGTTCGATTTTTTTTGAAAATTTTTAAATATCCTCAAATTTTTG